TCCATGCTGGCTGTGAGGAGATACTTCCAGAGAATCACTCTGTATCTGCAAGAGAAGAAATACAGCCCTTGTGCCTGGGAGATTGTCAGAGCAGAAATCATGAGATCTTTCTCTTCATCAACAAACTTGTAAGAAAGATTAAGGAGTGAGGAAGGACACCTGGTTCAACACGGAAATGAGTCTCACTGACTGATAATATCACACTTGCACGTGTTCTGCTGTGTCAAAGACTCTCATTTCGGCTGTAATCATGACCTGAATTGAATTAATTTGTCAAATGTTTTCAGGAGTATTAAGCAACATCATGTTCAACTCTACAGGCACTAGTCACTTACAGATGACCATGCTGATGTATTTAAATATTTATCTGCCTATCTATCTATTTATTTATTTACAATATTTCAATTATTTTTGTTTATATAACATTATGTGCACCGTTACATCGTGGTTAAGAGAAAAAATATTCTTTATATTTAGTCAATTTATTATTTTCTATGTTTATTAAATCATTTCTATAGAAAATTCCTTGTTATTTGTGTATTAGCTAAAAAAGAAACACCAAGTCTGATTGTAACCTGATAAAGAATGCATGGAACAATTCACTTACTCATTATAATGTTTTTCAAGTTACAAGTAGAAATAGACCTCCTCTAAGCCTGGTTATATGTTGTCCTCAGAATATAGAGGTGAACACAAATCCTATCCTGCTTTCTTGAATCTGTGATTTTTGTTGAGAAACCAACCTAAAAAACAGTATTCATACTTAATATCAGTTATGCCAAATGGTATAATAAGAAGGGAAAAAAACGGAATTCTCTCAGCAGAAACTGGAGCAGGCATGTCAAGAAATCAAAACAAAGAAGGAGGTGTTCTCTACATTTGACTGCTTGACATCCACGTGCAGATATCCTTTGGAAAGTGGACATTTGAGTCTGCAATTACAAGTAATTCTATAAACTGAAGGCCTAGGAAAAGAAGTGGTCACATGGGAAGAGAGGCTAGAATGAGAAAAGGATGTGAAATTCATTCCTAGAACCTTCCACTGGTAAAGGGGGCAAAGAGCCACAAACGAAAAAGAGGTAGAATGACAATAAGCTAATAAGATGGGAGAGAATGGGGATTAGATTCTATTTAAAAGATTAAAACTGCTTTGAAGAATTGCATCATTGCAAAATGTGGATCGACACTGTCTGCCGCCTTAGGAGAATAGACGGCATTGGTGACTTTGCTGAGAGCCGGTTTGGTCGAATTAATCACCAGAGTCCACACTGGAGTAGGAGGAAGGGTGAAGAAGACAAGTTAGTGACTCTATATACAGAAAATAGTTTTGAGAGGTTTGCCTCCTGAAACGCAGGAGAGAAATAGAGTGGGAATTGGAAAAGAATGTGGATTTTTTTTTTTCTGCAGAGTTTTCCCTTTTTTGAAGTTTGTCTCTGGATAGATTCTTGGATTTGATGTATTGGCAAATCATATTACAATGTTTAATATTTATTTTAAATAATGACATATTTAATTATTTATAATGATAATTTATCATTACTTTGATAAGTACTATGTTGAATATCAGTAAACTGCTCTGTGGATTGAAACCATCCACCAAATGGGGAAATAGATGGAATTGACCTTAGTGAGAGCTGGTTTGGTGGAATAATGAGCAGAAGCACGATGGAAGAGTGGAAGGGTGATAAGAGAAGAGAAGAACTCCCATTGTCATTTTTCTCACCTGGGGATTCACTTTATTTCTTTTGTCATATTCAGACTGACATCTGTTTTCCTTTTGCCTCGGTGCTTCCAAATGCAGGGACAGCTTTCTAAGAAAGTTGAGTGGAGAAAGAAAAAAATGATGTATTAAAAATGATGGAAAATAATGGTACAGGCCCATTATGTTTCCATTTTTACTTCCCTATTTTGGTACTAACCTCAGGGTGAAATAAAAAGTAATTCAGAAGCAGCAAGACAGCCCTTGCCCAGAAAAATACTGAATTAAAACAAAAACATAAAATTTTAAAGACTCTGAAACTAGTAAAGCAAAGATGGCTAGTTTTCTATAGCATCCTATACTGCCCTCACTGCCCTACAGCTTCACTGTAGATGGAGAATGATGAGCCAAGAAGCTCTGTTGAAATGTACTGACTGAGTAACGCAGGGAGGGTTATTAATACTTCAATATAAGCTTCTAACGGGAGGTCAATCATCAGTGACTCCCTAGTGGACACCTCAGACACTTAGAGCATAACAGGTGTTCAACAGTTTAATAAATTGAGCTCAGTGTAAAAATCAACGTTTAGCAAAATAAAATTCCTTTGATATTTGAGGTGAATATGAAAAAACAAAGGTAATTTACCTAAACCCGTTCCCCCTCCACACACTTGTAGCGCATAACGTTTGGCTTGTGATATCTGGAAGCTGTGGAAATATTTGACCCCTGAGTACCTGAGGAAAAGAAGAGGGGTTGTCACAGAAACACTCTGGGGTCTTGGGAAGTTCATTATTTCGGGGACAAAAGCAATCACCCTCCAATACAGTTTTGCTAAAAGTTGAAAGTGTGATGAGCTGACTCCTGGCAGCCCATTAAAGACAGAGTTATTGAGAGTTAAATTGGAAGATATGTGGCTGTGTGCGCATTGAGCCAGAGGGTCAGATAAACACGTACTAATTGGTGAGGAGAGGTGGTGCTGGGGAAGGATAAACACGTTGCAGGTCTTGGAGTTAGAATTGGAACACTGAGGTGCACTTAAAAAAGTTAAGAATGCAGCCAGAGACGTTGGGAACAACCTGAAGTGTCATTCATAGGAAAATGTTGCGAGTGGAAAGTGCCCGTTGCATTTCTGGCCGTGAGGCCCCGGTGCAGCACTGCCACATGGCCATACTGGAAAGTCTTCTTTTGTACACAAAATCTGGGAATATTTTTCACTAATAATATGTCTTGAGTAATTCATATCAACCCTGGCTAATGATAAAATTGTGAACAAGATATAGAGCTTTCTCCTAGAGGGTTACTTGTCAATCAGGTCTAATAAATCCATTTTCAAGAAGACAGATTCCAGAAGGATGAGGCAGCTTGGCTGACATGCAAAATAAAGACAGCAACACAGAGCCTAGAAGCAGACATGAAATTTTGTTCTTAGCAAGAAGAACAGTATTTGCACACTTTTGACTTTAACAAAAAGACTTTCCTCATTTGAAAGCTTTGAATCCATTTACATTGAAACATCTGAAGTTTTTTTTGGCAAACTAAACTTAAATCAAAGAAATGAAAAGAATAATTTAAATGGTTATGTCTTCTAATCTATTCCAATCTATTTAGAACACACAGAGAAGAAAGCAAAAAAAAAAAAAAAAAAGAATAAATGTGTATAGGAACATTCAGAAAATGAAAATTACTATGTATTATATTGAAGAGACATGTAAAGAAAGGACTTCAGAGAAACTCGGGGTCAAGACTCACACAGACACACACCTCATCCAGGCCACCAGCATCCCCAAGGTCTGCAATGCCCACCCTCTGATGGCCCTCCTCCGGTTAGCTGCATCACCTTCTCATCTTTGGGCTGTGACCTGCGTCAGAGGCATGTCCTGGTTCACAGGATGACCTGATGCTTCTGAGACAAATGAGGAGGATCTCTCTGTTCTCCTGACTGAAGGACATCTCCTCTTGGAGATGGTGGCTGCAGCCAGTTCCAAAAGCCTTGGCCATCCCTGTCCTCCACGAGATGCTCCAGCAGATCTTCAACCTCTTCCACACAGAGCGCTCCTCTGCTGCCTGGAACACGACCCTCCTGGACAAAATCTGCAGCGGACTCCATCAGGTCCTGGAAGACCTGGACACTTGTTTGACACAGAAAATGGATAAAACTGAAGACACTCCTCTGGGAAGGAAGAACCTTACACTAGAGGAGAAGAGGTACTTCCAGGAAATCCATCTCGATCTGAAAGAGAAGCGATAGTGTGACTGTCAAACTAGAAATCACGTGATCATTCTCTTCATATTCAAACTTGCAAGAAAAATTAAGAAGTAGGGTAAGGAACCTGGAAATAATTCTTTTCAACTAATACACTATGTCACTCCCCCACATTTTTAGTCATTTTAAAGACTCTTATTTCTGCTTTAGTCTTAGAATGTATCGAGTTAAATTGTTCAAACTTGTGTTAAAATGTTGTTCTTAAATGATTATCTCTGGGGCATATTCCTTGAGAGACACCTATAATGGGGTTATGTATGTACTCATGTACTGGGGGAACTTCTGGTTTCCCATTCAACATGTAACCAGTTTGGAGGTCGTCATTCCTGATCTCACATGAACAACAACAAAAATGCAAAACAAACTGGAAAACAACAACTCTTCTTAGATCTGTCAGAGAATTGAGGTCACAGTGCAAGCTGCTGCCCTTATAACTGCAGAGAGAGGAGGCTGCAGAGATCGTGGCTTACCTGGAGCAGACACACAGGAGCAGAAACCACAGCTGAAGCTAGTATTGGTAGGAACACTTCAACTATCATTCAGGAATTACTGAAGGGCCCATATGGATGAGCTAGAGATTTAAAAACTCCAAGATGCCCATTTTTTAATTGGGTTGTTAGTTTTTTTGTTGTTGAGATGCATGAGTTCTTTATATATTTTGGAGATTAACCCCTTATCAGATGTATGGT